CTGATGATGATGAGAGTTGTGAATGAATAGTGTGAGTGGTGTGAGTTAGATAAAATGGATTTCGCCCATTTTTCACATGAGTCCATGTGCCTGTCCACCAGAATATTAACAAGCTGGCTGGCTAAGTGGCACGTTGCTTACCCTGCTGACAACCTTTAACATCCTACGTAATAAGGTATAGTCTTTCTTCAGTAGCCAGCCCTGGAAAGACGAAGGGGGAACAATAGAGAATAATAGGCAAGATGCAAGAGTTAACGAATTGTAGGAGTAAGCGTTAGGTTATACCAGAATGTCTTAACTTCTTGATGTAAAAGGTAAGACGGAATATTTTCTTAGAATGCATCAGCATATAAGACGACCAGGAAAGATCAGCAGATAGAATGACGCCTAGTTGTTAAATTTCCGACTTGGTTTCTATTTCAGTGCCATCTATGTTGCACACCTCGTGAGTGCTAACCAGTTTGTTTAGGTCAGATTTGTGCCTAAAGGTGAAATTAACTGTTTGGCATTTGGAGGGGTTTAAGATGAGACCGTTTACCTTGGACCATTGGCTGATTTCTGACAAGAAGCCATTCAGTTTAGAGCAGTCACTTTGACATTTGACAAGTAGAGATACAGTTAGGTCATCAGCATATTTGACAAAGTTAATGTCATTTGAAGATGGTTGGTCATGTAGAAAGAATGAAAATAGAAGTGGGGAGAGTACAGCACCTCGGAGGACACCAGCTTTAGTGACCACACCAGAGGAGGATTTACCTTTGTATACGGTGTGCTGCATTCTGTTTGAAAAGTAGGAATGCAACCAGTTAGTGACCCAGGACTCGGTTTGTGTCATAGAGAGCTTATTTAGCAAGAGACATCTAGGTACAGAGACGAAAGCAGAAGTGAAGTCGAGAAACGTGCAGCGGACGTATTTGGCACCTTTATCTAATGATGAGACGATACTGTTGTGTAAGACGGCTGCAGCGTCTCAAGTGCTCCTACCCTGTCTATAGGTAAATTGTTTGGGGTCTTCGAAGCTTTTAAGGGAGGGTTCAAGTTTAAGAAGTACTAGTTTTTCCATAAGCTTTAGAAATGGGTGAGTGGTGGCAATGGGTCTGAACTTTACGTTCTTGCTATTACGAGGTTTAGGGACAGGGACTATTTTAATGTCTTTCCATGGAACAGGTACAACGTTTTCGGAGAAAGAAGCATTTAGGATGTTAGTAAGTGGAGAATATAGAGCATCTGCACATTGTTTTAGAACATATGCAGGTACACCATCAGGGCCAAGACTACATGAGGGCTTAAGAGTTTTAAGACATTTTAAATCATCAAGAGTGTTAAAGTCCTGGAAGTTATCAGCTACAAGATTAGTAACATTAGAAGTGATTATAGTAGAAGGAGAGCGTATAAAAGACTGATTGAGAGCATTAGCATCACAAGAGGGAAAAACATTACATCGCTTACTATTGCCAGTAATTTCATTGAAAAATTTCAACATGCTGGTAGGAGATTTGCATGATAAGAGTGTTTGTTTATAGATTGCATTAAGATTTTTGATTTCAGATTTGATTTGAGCATTAATCTTTTTAAGTCCTAACTTATCTCTGAGTTTATATAATGTTTCTTTTTGCCTGAGAAGTTGTTTGAGATGAGGAGACGAGAAGCGGTCGAGGCGTTTGAATAGTGTTTGTTTGGGACAGCATATGTCAAGGCAGAACTTAAGATAATCCGTTATATTGGTTATTCAGTCATCTAATTTACTTTCATAGAATAAATCCCAGTTAGTGTTTTTTAACATGCATCTTAGATTGAGTAGGTTATCAGATGTGTAGCATCTTTGTTGTGCTTTCTTAGACAGGTGTGAGAAGACTTTGATATGTGTTTTGCTGGACGCACTGGATACAGAACTCCGACCAGAACAAGCTGGCTGGATTCAGGAAAGGCAAATCATGTTCTGACCGAATTGCAACTCTACGCATCATCATCACAGAACAAAGCATGGAATGGTGGTCAAACTTCTACCTCAACTTCAAAGACTTTGAGAAGGCCTTTGACAGCGTTGACCGCGAAGTAATTTGGAAATTACTCGAGTACTACGGCGTGCAGCGCCCAAATATTCATCAACCTCATTCAACAGCTGTACGACAACAACGACACATGTCAAGTGATCCACAACGGAAAATTCAGCGAGGCGTTTGGAGTAAACACAGGAGTCAGACAAGGGTGGTTATTATGATATTCCTAATTGTGGTGGACTGACTGGATTATGCGTCAGACAGTGGGAAACGAGAAGACAGGAATATCCTGGACCGACGTGAAAAGTCTAGAAGACGTGGATTTCGCGCGTGGATGATTTATGTTTGCTGTCTCACAAAATCGAAGACTTACAAGCGAAAACTGACAAACTGGTCGAAGAAGCAGCCGGTGAAGACAGGACACCATGTGAACATAGACAAGACTGAGGTTATGAAAATAACCAACCAACAACATCAACAACAACAACGGCGGCAACACCCAGCGCCAATCACCCACCATCGACGGGAGGGATTTTGAAGAGTTTACTTCATAACCTCACTTATCTAGGGAGCATTGTCTCAACTACAGACAGTCGGAACGGACGAGGATGTCAAATCGAGCGAGAATCGGGAAGGCAGGCGAGAAACACATTCATTCATCAACCTGAAACCAATCTGGAAATCTTCGTTACTCAGCCAGAATCAACAACAAAATTCGGTCGGATTTTTCAATACAAACAACGTCAAGTCAGTCAGTTCTTCTATACGGATCGAATCAGAAACTTGGCGGCTGGGTCACAAAGAATATTTCCAACAGGATATTGCAGACCTCTATTAACAACTAACTGTCTTCACTCTATACTGAATGAAGATCCGATGGCCGGGCCGGAATGAATCACCAACAAGAAACTATGGCTGGGAACAAACAAACAAAACAAGAACCAATCGCCGACCAACAAATATGCAGAAGAAAGTGGAGATGGATTGGACACTCGCTTGCTGAGGAGGGAAGCCGCTGGGTGACATCGTGTGCGCGTCAGGCCATTTCTCGAGTGCAGCCAGGCCGAAAGGGAAGCGGCGAGTGGAACATCAGTGCGAGCGTGGGTGGCATGGAGAAGGTCGTGTGACGAGAGAGGGGTTGAAAGAGTTTGGGCTAACATGGATGCAGGTGAGAACTATAGCAGAAGACAGAAGCGAGTGGAGACGTGCGGTTGAAGCCCTATGTTCCACTAGGAACCCAAGGGGACAATAATAATACATCTATCTAATATCATTGTTGAGATAGTTTTGCGTTTGGATACATCATGATTGTTGAATATTAGCTCAGGTTTTATAACAAATAATTGCCTTTTTTTGCTGCCATTGGGTTATTTTGTGACTGTGAGTAACTCAAAGGAGTTCTGCCTAGCTACAGAGTGGGGAGCAAGGATCGGCTGCCCTCTGTTCAGACTACAAAACATATCGATTCTGCTCGTTACACTGATGTCTATTAGGTACAAAATTAATTGATTGAAAGAAAGTGTTCACAAAATCTGGTTGAAACTGTTTAACTGACCAAGCAGTACAATTACGCCTCATAGCTACGGCTGAGAAAACCTGACCTGTGTATGCAAAAGAAGCGCATGTTCATCATCTTTGTATACCTTGGCCTACTATAATGTCATCAGGGATATAATCATCTGTATTTTCATGTCATATTATGCCTTCTTATTCCTTTTCACGCAATTTACTTCATTCCGTTACCATCCTGACTATGTGTCAACCTTTACAATTTACACTGAGCTTATCATGTGCTTATTAGTTTATTACTTTTCACAATTTAATCTCTTTATTTTATCACTACACTCGATATCTGTTGACCCTTGCTTGAACTTACATTCAGTGTTCCCCATTCGTTGATATTTGTTTGTACGTGTTAGGTGATAGTCATATTTCTCTGGCACCAGCGAGTAGAACTCACTACCAACCCACATCCAACACCCAACATAACCAACACCAATAAAACTGTTGACTATAAATACAACCAGAACAACAACAGACAACAATCAACCAGCATAAAAGGGGGGATAAATCTGAAAGAAACAACCTCCTTTACTTACCCACCTACCTGGGAAGCATCGGTTCAACTACAGGCCAACGGAAATGACGAGGATATCAAAGCCAGAATCGGAAAAGCAAGACAAGCTTTCATTACTCTCAAGTCTGTGTGTGGAGGTCAACAGCACTCACCATCAAATATAACATTCGGATTTTCAACTCCAATGTGAAGTCAGTCAGCGCTACTCCCTATACGGATCAGAGACTTGCACTGCGCGTCATAAACAGCATCTCAAACAAACTTCAGACCTTCATTAACAGTTGTCTTCGCTCAATACTGCTCATGATCAGATGACCGGCCAGAAAAGATCAGCAACAGTGAGGGATCTATGGCAATGAGTGGACCGACCCAGTAGGCACGGATTGTGAAACAAATATGCAAGAAGAAATGGAGATGGATTGGCTGGTCATACTCTGAGAAAACAAGTCATCAAGTGACATCACTAGAGAAGCCGTCGATCGAGTGGAATCCGAAAGGGAAGCGGCGAGTTGGTCGTCAGTTTGAGGTTGACATGGAATAGAGGAGGTCATGTGAAGAGGAGATGAAGGCGTTTGAGCAGACTTGGAGCGGAGTGAAAAGATTGGCAGAAAACCGAACCTAATGGATACGCGCGTCTGAATCCCTATGTTCCTCTAGGAATTAAAGGAAATAATAATACACTAGAATGTCACCCAGATATCTATTCACATTTTATTTTATGTTCTGAGAGTAACCGTACATCTTATATACATTCATCACCTGGCGACAATTTTAACTAACGAACTATCATTCTATATTACATATGTACCCCAATACACTTTCTAATATAATTTGTACTTGTCTTCACTGCCTATCTCAATTCTGATATTCATGGATTCATTATTGTTTAGCCTGAGGAAAAAGTTGTCGAAAACAGTTTATCCACGTAAAACCATGGGGAATTTTATTCGTCTACTTAAATTAATCTACACCACTCACTTAAAAAAAATAGACTTTCTTAAAAACGAACTTTTGTGGAAAGAAACATGGTTACAAAATTTTTATTCAGAGTCCTCATCATCTAAACTCTCTTCTCCTTCTGACTCATTCATACTCGGAGTTGACATTTATCCATTAGTTTGATTATTTAAACTTTTTTGAGCAAGTGCTATTGGGAATGCTTGAGAATTACCACTATTCATACTCGATATTGGAGTGTACTGTCTCCATGACTGTTGTGGATAGTAACAAGTCAATTGAGGGTAATAGTTGTAGGATTGATACGAAGATATCTGGAGGCATAGAAGTACAGATGACACTGATTGCAATCCATATTGCCTTATATTATCCACGCATGCACCTGGGGTGAAGTAAATATATGAACCGGTGAATTGAGGTCGTCTGTACAGAGAAGATATGAGAAAATAGAGTTAATGTTAGTTAATGTTAATTTTAAATATATATATATTCAGTCAACGAATATTATTTACAGGTTGAAATAATAATGGGATTTCTTTGAAATAGTATTCACTTACCAGGTGATTTAATGAAATAAGTACACTCCATATATTTGATATAAAAAGCATCTTTGCATATTATATGTTTTAACCAGCTGAACTTTTCATTTGTCATGTACATATTTGATGTTGTGAACAGTACTTAGATGAAATAATTTCTGAAGTGACAGTAGTTATATAGACTGCAGATGACACAATTTATCGTGTATTATTATTCACAGACAATGATAGAAAGAAGTAGCAACCAGAAACTATGGAAACAAATCAATCATGAACCGACTGTTTAACAAGAATGCAGAAAGAAATGAAGATAGATTAAGTATACGCTGAGGAAACCATTGGTTAAAATCATGTGTTATGCAGGCCATCGCTGGTAAGGAACCCGAATGGGAAACGACGAGTGGATTGTTATTCCGACGGTGACATAGAGGAGATCATGGGAAGTAGAGATGAGAAACTATGGGAAAATATGTGGCCAGATAAAGTCGACCGCATACATTAAGAGAAAATGGAGACGTACTGCGGAAGCCGTCTGTTCCACTGAGATCCAAGCGAATAATGATAATAATAACAACCCACTGACACACCCAGACACAGACTTCCACTCTATAGTATCTCTATGTTTTCGATATTATTATTTATTGATATAAAGTGTATAACCCGTGTGAATAGAACTCATTGCGAACATTTATCAGGATAATGCACCAATACTAACCAATATTCGTTGTTTTTCACAGTCATTCACTTGTGAAATTTAGTGTTCGATTCTGGTGTTAATTATGTTCACGCATATTACCACATACACACACATGTTTTGAACGATAATCTATCAACAGTACGCATCCCCCGGGTTTCGAACCCAGGACCTTCTGGTTACAAGGCGAGCTCGTAGAAGATTAAGCCACTGGGACCCAATCCAATGGCCAGCACATGAATTCTAACTTCTGCCAATTCACGACATAGCACGACCATTTCACAATGTCTTCTTCGATGAGTTACTGCCTCATCTTCAACCACTGGATCGGGTTTCAGTGGCTCAATCTTGTACGAGCTCGCCTTGTAAGCAGAAGGTCCTAGGTCCTATCCCCGGTGGGTGAGTGCTGCTGAAGACTCCCAAACTAGGACGAAACAAGTGTCCAATACTCCGTGGTGGTTTTTCCGTGGTTCTCTAGCTGGTGTCAGCTTATGATGAAATTCTCCATGCAATTAAATAAAAATTCCTACAAAACCAATACTTGAAAATATATCAACAATCGATTCGTTTATGTCTCTTAGAGTTTTGATGTCAGTGATTCGATATTACCCTAAAATGTATTAATGTTGTTAAATAGCAATATTTCCATAACTATTATGGACGCATGTAACTGTGAAACGTGAAGATGAAGATATCGAAAAGAATATTCTTGGTTTACCAATCTGCCTTCTGAAACCAACAATGGACTTCCTTAATGATAGTAATAATAATAATAACAATCATGCTTTATTCTAAACAAACACAGTAGGGAATTTGAACAAACCCTTACAAACTAAACTATAGAATAATCTGATGCTCGCTAGTAACTTGCTGCAGGATGGAGTTTCCTGGAGTTCTAGTGAAAAGTCGTGTCCAGTGAGGTCCAATTAGATGTCACGTGTGTAGATGGATATCCCACCGACGACATTGGCTGGGGTAGCGCTAGGTCACGAATTGGCATGAGTTAGAATTCATGAGCCACTGAATCGGATCCCAGTGACTGAATAGTATACGAGCTTGCCTTGTAACCGGAAGGTCCTGGGTTCAGAGCCTGGTGGTAGGTGCGTATTAACGATGATTCCCAAACTAGGATGGAACGGCAGCTGTCCAGTACTCCCTGGTCTTCAGTGGTTCTCTAACTGATACCTGTCTATCTGCCTGTTTTCGACATAGAACTTTGCACAAATGTGCACCCGTTAAAGTCGCCACACTCCCTCCATGTAGCACACAAAACAAGAGAAGAAAGTACAAGAAAAGCATAATAGAGACAGTGAGCAGAGGTGTGAGAAAAAGGAGTAATAGCGAAGAACAAAACAGTTTCATTGGAGATCATAAGTCACAAGGAGTGGATGCATCTCCGCCAGCCATTGAGAACGATTTTGAGCCATGTCACCAATTGTTTCCAACCATTGACTTTTACCTTCTCGAGGACCCCAACCAGTTAGGAAGTCTACACCTTCCTACGTGGCTTAGACCAACTGTTTTAGATTTCATTGACTGGTGTCATGTTCTTGTTTGGCCTCCGCTAGCTTTTTTCCAGCCTGACCCTCTATCCGCTAACATTTCTCGTTGAGGAAGGCGATGACTAGGCATACGCAACACATGTCCTAACCATCTCAGTCTTTGTAACTTCACAACTTCGTCGATTGATTTCCCCCTTTACCCAACAACTCGACGCCTAACCTCAATATTGCTCACCCTATTATACAACTTCATACGGAAATAGAGCGCAGGAACTTATGATCAAAGACAGCTAATCTTTTCATGTCTTCCACTCTCACTGGCCAGGTCTCACAGCCAGCCATAAAGGAGGATGGAGCGGACTGATGAGCAGTACACCCGCCCTTTGGTCGATAGTTGGATATCTCGTCTACGCCAGAGACGGCGTAAACCGGCAAATGCGAAACGAGCCCCCTGTATCCGTACTGACATTTCGTCAGAGATCAATCCGTTGGCACTGGGTGATGGTACTTCCCAAAGAAGTGAAGCGGTCAACGTGCTCTACCACTTCAATCCCTATTTCTAATCTAAGAGTCGGTGTAATCCAGTCCTGTAACGTCATCTTGCGTTTGGCGAGAGCGAATCGCATGCCAAATAATTGTAGATTGCAGCTCAAGGTATTTAGAAGACACTGCATTTTGTCAGCGTCTTCGCCTAGAAGGACTATATCGTCTGCATATTCTAAGTCAACGAGATTATTCCCCGGTAGCAAGTCAATCCCTGAGTCGCTGAAGTCACTTAGGGTTAAGTCCATTAACACATCTATGATGAAGTTGAATAGAAAAGGGATAATGGGCATCCTTGACGGACACCACTGGTCGTCATCAGTTCAGATGACAGCTCGCCGTAAGCCCTCACCTGGCTGTATGAGTACGAGTAGAGTGCCTTAATCAGTGCAATATATTTTCTCGGAATTCCCTTTACAGCCAAGCATCTCCAGAGAACTTCTCGATCGACAGAGTCGAATGCTGCCTTTAGGTCAAGAAATATAATGACTGTTGGACGCCGGTAGGAATGCCTATGTTCTAGAATCTGTCGGAGGGTGAAGATATGATCAATACACCCTCTTCCTGGTCTAAAGCCTGCCTGGCTCTCTCGTGTTTGTGCTTCCCGAGCACCACTCAGTCTACGCATGATTATTGAGCCTAAGACTTTAGATACTATATTAGTCAAGCTAATCCCTCTGTGATTATCACAGGAAGACTTGTCTCCCTTCTTGTATATGGGGATAATCAGTGACTTACACCAACCCGATGGGACTTCTTCTGATTCCCAGACGCTGCCTAGTACCTCAGTTAATCAGACAGTAAGCTGTCTCCACCGTACTTAAATACCTCTGGAGTCATTCCATCAGGTCCCGCTGCTTTGCCTAGTTTCAGATTGGTGACAGCTTTAGTAACCTCAGTTAAGGACGGAGGACCTGTGTCTATATCCCATTCAGGGAGGTGTTGGATGCTCGGAAGGTTGAGCGTGGCTGTGGGCAATTAAACTGCTCCTCATAATGCTCTTTCCAACGATCCAGTCGTCTATCCTGGGAGCTAATTATAGTGCCATTTTTTCCGAGATTGTTTCACTTATGATTTGTCTTCTCCCACCCGTTTCCCTGATGAGTCTAAAGAGTTGCCTGGTGTTGCCTATCCTCAAGCTTTCTCCATCTCTTTGGCTTTTGTCGCCCACCACTGTTCACGGTCCTTGCGGAGACTTTTCGTAAGTTTCCTTTTGTGCAGCTTTCGCTCCTCATTGAATTCGGAGCTCGCCGGAATAAGTCTTCTAGCATCTATCAGTTCGGATGAGGCGGTGGAGATCCAGTGGTTTTTACTCACCTTTGGGTTTACCTTATTCACAGCTTTTACAGCTGTATCTATGGCTGCCTGGATATTTTCCAAGCTTCTTCAGGGTGAGCACAGCTGTCGAACACAGATATGTGTTTAGCTAGTTCTTCCTGAAATACGGATTTAGTTTCCTGATCGAGCTGGGGACGTGATGGTTTTACCGCCAGCTGTTTCCTACGTCCGTTCAGTCGTAAGCACACACGAGCGCGGACCAGTGCGTGGTCGGTATCTACACACGTGTTCCAGAAGGAGCGACAATCTCCTACCGACCCACGCCAACGATAGCTTATTGCTATGTGGTCTATTTGTGTCCAGCGTTGGTTTGATGAAGGGGGTCTCCAAGTCAAACAGTGTCTCTCCTTGTGTTTGAAGTTAGTGCTTACAAGAAACAAATGATTATCAGAACAGAACTGTAGGAGACGGTCACCGTTGTCGGTTCGCTGGCACGGAACTCCATAGGTGCCACCGACATCCTTCTCAGATTGACACAATTTCCCTACTTGAGCGTTAAAGTCACCAGCTAGAACGACTATGTCTGAGCGTTTAGCCTTTCTCACCAAACTAGACAGCTTTTGGTAGAACTCATCCTTCGTTTCATCTGAACTGCAGTCAGTGGGGGCGTAGGCGGAGATTACGAAAAGGCATCGGCGAGTAGTGCAGTCCTTCCTCCTTCTTACTGATCCGTTCAGGCGGACAGCACACATTCGGCTATCTACCGGGATCCAGTCAAGCAATGTCTTTTCTGCCCTAGTACTCAAAGCTATCCCTACGCCAGCTAATCCTCGTGAACTAGCTGTGGCATCTCCTGACACCCTCAAGGTGAATTTTGCAGATTCAACCTGTTGGCCAGGTGGGGTTAGGTGAATAACCACACTTGGGTCTTGTATGCGTGTTTCTGAAACACAGCATACATCAATGGCTCGTGATGCCAGGGTCTTGGCTAGTGATGCTTGTTGTCCTATTTGGCAAAGTGTCCTAACATTAAAGCTCCTATATGAAATTGGTGGCGCGGCTTTAAGAGGCTGTCGGTGGTGGTTTTTTGGCTTCCATCGTTTTTAGTGGACGCAGAGTGGAGAGGAAGTGGAGAGCTATCAAGTCGAGGAGTTGCATCAGTGGAAGGAAGGCAAGATGATAGAGATGAAGATGAAGACAAAGATGAGTGAGTAATAGAGAGGTTTCGTGTGCATTTCGGATTGTGAGGGCGATTGTTACTTCCCGGCTGCCCACACCGTGGAAGTTGGTTGCGTGACCGCAGAGCCCAGGGGACAACTGCTTGAGGCCGGTCACACGCGGCCTGTTTTTTTCGTTCTTTTTTGTTTGGTGTGTCTCAGTAGCATATTATCACTCCTACCCTGTGACACGGCAGCAGGAAGCGCGGTCGTTGTTAATCCGGGCCACGGCCGATCCGGCATGAAATTTTGTAAGTTTTTATGTATCACAGTGTTGGATTGGGTAGCTGCTTTTTGTTTAACCGCTTCCCAAACAACCTTTCTGGCATGGTAAAACCTCAAAAGACATAAGTCTCAGCCAGTATAGCTTGATTAGGTCATTGCGGTGTTCAAACCCGACCACCACGTCAAGGCTAACTGATATCAATCCGAGATCAACTCATAAAAAAATATTAGGGACGTATTTGTAGGAATTTAAGTGAACATAAAGAAGACAAGTGTGATGAATATAACCAACCAACCAACCAACAGCAACACCACCAACTACGAGCACCAATCACCACCAACAGAATAAACTTGAAAATAGGCCAAATCTTACACTTTCCTAGCAAGCATTGCTTTAGTTACAAACGAAGGCACAGGCTGGAGTGGATTGGTGAAGTAGAGCATCATCCCTGTGAAATGAGTTTGGAAATCCTCTGTACACCACAGCATAGAGAACGACATTCAGATAAAATAAACACCACTGGAACTGGAACTCCAAAGCTTTAGCTTGAAGCGCTACGTTTCAATTGAAAGGGGTAAAGGAATAAGAAAAATCTTGAATTCTCACAAGGGAGATAAATATCCTCGCACCGTTTATTTCTATTGAGTGGTAAACAGTGGCTTGAAACAGTGGCGAAGCTGTGTTTAGTTCAGTGAAGTGCTTTTACTGAACATTTCATCTTGTAAGATCATTTCAAGTTATGAATTAATACCCCCAAAATATACCTGTTTTTTCATAGGGAAAAACAAGGTTTTTCTTTAGCGAAGAAGTATATCTTTTCAATGAGATGTCACTTCAAAGCTTCCTTGTCCATTCTTGTTAGCATTATCGGAAAAATGCATTAAATGCCACTAGAATTTGTGCACCAGTCAATATACACATATGATATGATATGATAAATATAACCGGTGTTGTTTAGATAATACTTTTATTGTTTGGGAACGATAACAGTTCAACTACTGACCTTCTCAGGCATTGAGATGATTTTCACACATCAATGCTTTTCCCTATAGCAGAAGAGCGGATTTCCACCCACACTTACCACTTATTAGATATCCTGCTATATACAGAAGAGAAGACGGCGCAGTGAAAAGGTGGACCTACCTACCGAAAGTCAATGTCTACTGAGCAGCACATTAACTTCAACATTTGAGCAACTCTAGGCAGAAACAGAGATCTTATCCATTCTGTATGCTCAAGAATTCTGAAAATTCGCTTTATAGACACGATCGACAGCAACCTTATTCTAAACATTTTATTTAGAGAAACATGAAGAAAAATGCTTCTGCTAGCCAGATCATAGTACTAAAACAGACACTATGAGTTTAGCATTTAGAGGGGACACTACAGCTCGAGTTATTAAACGTTGTCTATCCAAGCGTGTTAAACTCACTTTTTATGCCTCTAACTTACACCCAGTATCCTCTGGTTCAATTGTGATCTAACATTGCCTGATGGATAAACTACTGAGAATTTCTACCCACCTCTATGTGCCTCTAACTATTTCATATACTCTTGTGGTGCAAACTACATTGGATGATATGAGCATGTTCTCTGTAAATGTGTAGCTGAAAATTGCCGTGTTTGGTTGATGAAAGGCGAGTATAAGATGACTAGATCTTTCATCTGTATATACTCTCCTAGAATCAGATCAATCAGGCATACACGATTTATCCTTCAAAGTTATCTATGTGATTAAATTCAGCCAGTGGTAAATTTTGCGTCTTTTTTTCCACTTATGTGTAACCCTATTTATGCATGGACAATAATCTAAGGTATGCATAGAGCAGCGTCTTATTAAACCCTTTACTTTGCCTTGGTCATAGCATAGACCTTATATATATTCATATATATTATCGCTTGAATTCATTCCACTTCACTTCATTTACGCCTTCTTGGTAGGCCCACAACTTCATCCAATTCTGGATATGTCAGGTTCCCCTTACCACTCTATTGCAAAATGGCTAGCAGATATTCTGGAATCTGTAAGAAAACAATTATGTACGCATTCGCTCCGTGACACCTTTCAGTTCATCGACTGCATACAAAACATGAATGTATCTAACAAAATAATATTGTCCTTCGACAATGAGTCACTTTTCACCAATGTCCCACTCACGAAAACGGTCTACTTCATATGCAGATATATAGATGACAACCACCTCAATGTTGGAATACCGAAAACATATTTGAAAGAATTATTATTGAGATGCACACTGAACATCCAGTTCACATTCAACGACAAAAAGATGGTATTGAAATGGTATCTCCGTTGGGTCCACTATTATCAGATTGCTCCGAAAGCAAGCCTCGAGAGAGGTCAACTAAAGCCAAGCATTGGCAATTTACAACTGTATAAAAGATACGTGGACTATATTTTCACTATTTGTGACAACAACAATGACCCAAATCTACTGCTGAAGACATTTAACTGTTGCCATCCAGCAATAAAATTCACTCTTGAAATGGAAAACGAATAAAAAATTCCGTTTCTTGATGCGGAACTAACAAGAAGAGGTGATGGGAGCCTGAGAAGATCGATCCATAGAAAACCTACGTGGAATGGTCAACTAACAAGCTTCTATAGCTGGGTACCCATTCAACAAAAGCGGAATTTAATTAAATCACCCGCATCCGACACATCATTAGTCCCGACGTTCTGGAAACAGAATTACATATTCTAAGAGAAATCTTCATCCAAAATGGATACCCAATAAGATTCACTGACAAAAATATCAAACCAAGAATTCGAAGAAACGAAACTTCACTTGCGCCTAAAAAGAAACTCTACATGAACTTGGATTTGAAGGGAGGTTTAGCAAGCGATATTCTCAAGAAGAGGATCAAATTATCTCTGAGAAAACATTCTTTGCAGCAACGCTAAGAATAGTGTTCTCCAGTCGCCCACTGATCTGCAGAAGCCTCAAGGACAAGATCCCGCATCTGACCACTTATATGTGCATATATCATTTCACCTGCTGCTGTGGGGCAAGATACATCGGTCATTCGACTCGTATCCTGTCCAAGAGGATTCAAGAACACTATCCAACATGGTTGCGAAAAAGCAATATTGGTGCAACAAGGAGTGCGATAATTGAACACCTGGTTAACACTGATCATTCCATTTCAAAAAACGCCTCCTGCTTCAAAGTAATCTACAGAGTCAAGAATAACCTATCAAAGGCAATACGGTTTCGTCTTCTATGTATCGCTGAAGCTCTGGCCATTCACATGGAAAAACCGGAGCTGTGCATACAAAAGATTACTCAACCACTTCTACTCTCATGGTAACAACTTTGTTGGTTTTGATGACTTAGTTTTGTTTCTTTACCTGTTCCTTAATTGCTTATAATTCTTATATTCACTTAGATCTCTTACATAGTTTCGTATTATCTACTTTATTTCTATGTGCATCCTGAGTAAAACTAACTCATCAAACTATTCATATTATTATTACATAACTTCTTTTAACAACTGTTTTGTGACAACTCATCAACTTTGTTACTACCCTAGTTTTATTAACACTTAATTTTCTTGACTTGCATTACCAATCTTCAACTGTTTAGTTAAAATAACCTCAACCAATTGTAATTTTGTTTAACAAACTTAATGTACACATACATGCAAAATAACACATATATGTGTTTGCTAAGAAAATGAATTCGCCACCGAAAAGAGACTCCTCGCTGATCTACGTGTTTTGTTTTCATTAATCCCTTCTTAATTGGTAACATCATCATTGTCTGGTAACATTTGACCTACTCTTAAAATCTCAGTACCAATTCACTTTATTCTTATATCATAGGAATTAATAGTAAATCAATTGAAAAGTAACTCACTCGTATACCAGCCAATAGATTGGATATCCATACCATGAACCCCAAGGAGCACATATAGATTGTGTATTCCACATTTGATATAGTGTTAACTGTCCAGTACTGTAACACACTTCCATCCTATAACCTTGTTGATATATTCCAGTATATAACAGTAAACAATTCCTCTGTGAATATCTTCCATACAATGATCGACTGGAGCTGGAATCTATTCCTTGAGGTAGACGGATGTCACTGACTTCGGGATTTTGGGTTTTTATCTCAGATAAACACAAGATTAAGTGAAGTAGCACCAATATGACGAGTAAATTCAATCGTATCAACATGATGAATATTTTTGTTCTAGTGTAAAATGTATCTACTTTTGTCTAATTAATATACTTTTGTGAGAAGATAAAGTTATGCAACTTTAAAAAACAGTGATACTTTTAATTTTTTGAAACGTGATTAATTATAAGTAGAATTTCTAAGTAGAAAGTATACTGAACAAATTCTAATCACGTCTTTTAATTATGAATGAAAATTTTAAAAGAAAAAACCTACATAACTTCGGTGTAATCATCAGTTTTATTCTTTGTCGAATAAACTATTCACAAAAGAAATATCACTTTATTAGTTGGTTAGTTAAGAATTCTTTGACCTTTAACAATCCAAGTGAAACCACGTGGGCTAAGATATATCATCGTAATGAAGTTCCAGTCACATTAGAAACATCGTCATTTATAGTATTACTGAATTAATGCATGTCATGCATCAATCAACGTGACACAATCACATTTATTCAAGAGCTTAAGGTCCACGCAGCTATATAGACCTACTACAGTCAATCTTTCTTTAGATGGACTAAAATCTTTCTGTAGAACCTTGATTCTATTAAAATCGATCTTGTATCCACCTTTTATTTGAATATATTCAAGTCACTGATTTATTTCCTAGTTTCTTCAAATCCCTCTAGGGAATTCAGAACAACTGCAAGTCGGTGGCACAGTGGTTAGGAATCTCGCCGACCATGCACATGGTCCAGGGTTCGATTCCCTGCCGACGCACACTTGATATCTATGGTCGGCCTGTAAAATTTGCGCTACCGATATCACATGATGAAAATGCCATACATGTACCAAACATACCGTGTGCAATCAAGCTGTAATCAAAAATAAAAAAAATTAAAATTAATTGATGTTCTTTTACTGGTACATTTACCTGTTTGGAAGTTTCCCACTGCATATACTTATTTTTTTTATTTTTGATTACAGCTTGATTCCACACCGTATTTTTGGTACAAATGTGGAATTTTCAGCGTGGATATCGGTAGCCCAAAATTCGCAGGCCGATCATGGATATCAGATGTGTGTCGGCATGGGCTCGAACCCCGGACCATGTACATGGCCGGCGAGAGTCCTAACCACTGTGCCACCGACGCACTATCATAATCACCATAGTTTTTCTAGTACACTCAGTTTTGTTGGTTATCTTCTTCTATTTTATTCTTTGCCTTCACCAGTGATTAGCGTAAGTTATCCGTTGCACAGAAGTACCATTCTTAGGTCATGATTGTTAAGGAATCATTTTATCTCATTCAAAGCTTCTTTGCAATAAGAAAAATTATTACATTACTAAACCTAATTCTCAGCGGCAGGTTTTGATGCATCCTTATCTTCCCTTTTTTCAAACATCTTTTAAATAATAATGAATTTTTGGGCATTTATTTCATTCAGGAGTAGACTGAACCAATTTTAGTTCTCCTGAGTAGCCAAATGTCAGGCTCTGTTAATCAGATTACTGATCACATTAACTTTGGTGTAAAGGGATGTGCTGAAGTGTAGGAAGATCAAATCATTTACGTTGGATTCAACCTCTTATTGAAGCTGGATACTTTTTGACATATTGTTTATTAAATGAAAAAGTTTATTCAACATACTGTATTCGATTATGACAAAGGTATCATATACATATATATATATTAACTATATTCTTCAAAGATTAGGGCACCTCATAATTACATTTATTTTCAATGAATGCAAAAACAGAAAGGCTTCTAACGAAGATGCTAGTAATTCCATACCAATACCCTTTGTTTGATAGTAAAGACTCTCTGAATGTAAATAACACCAAGAGTAGACACAATTCCATTACCTTCATAATTTCATCTGAGTTAAAAGGACATTGAACACTCAGTTCGTTGTTAGAACAAAGTAAATCATAAATAATACTTAAATAATCTCTAGTAATAACATTCGTGAATAATGTCCTCAAATATCGAAACTTGCCATTATTTCATCTTTTTAAATATAACTTGTGATGAATTTCTCTCTCTCTCAAATTAAAACGAAATCCTGACGTTGCCTTGGCCCTGATGGTGTACCTGCATATGTTCTAAAACAATGTGCAGATGCTTTATGTTCTCCACTTACTAACATCCTAAATGCTTCTTTCTCCGAAAACGTTGTACCTGTTCCATGGAAAGACATTAAAATAGTCCCTGTCCCTAAACCTCGTAATAGCAAGAACGTAAAGTTCAGACCCATTGCCATTACTTACCCGTTTCTAAAGCTCATGGAAAAACTAGTACTTCTTAAGCTCGAACCCTCCCTTAAAAGCTTCGAAGACCCCAAATAATTTGCCCATAGACAAGGTAGGAGCACTTTAGATGTTGCAGCCGTCTTACACAACAGTATCGTCTCATCATTAGATAAAGGTGCCAAATACGTCCGCTGCACGTTTCTCGACTTCACTTCTGCTTTCGTCTCTGTACCTAGATGTCTCTTGCTAAATAAGCTCTCTATGACACAAACTGAGTCCTGGGTCACTAACTGGTTGCATTCCTACTTTTCAAACAGAATGCAGTACACCGTATACAAAGGTAAATCCTCCTCTGCTGTGCTCACAGAAGCTGGTGTCCCCCAAGGTGCTGTACTCTCCCCACTTCTCTTTTCTTTCTTTCTACATGACCAACCATCTTCAAATGACATTAACTTTGTCAAATATGCTGATGACCTAACTGTGTCTTTACCTGTCAAATGTCAAAGTGACTGCTCTAAACTAAATGGCTTCTTATCGGAAATTAGCCAATGGTCCAAGGAAAACGGTCTAACCTTAAACCCCTCCAAATGCCAAACAGTTAATTTCACCCTTAGGCATAAATCTGACCTAAACAAACTGGTTAGCACTCATGAGGTGTGCAACATAGATGGTAGTGAAATAGAAACCAAGTCGGAAATTAAATATCTTGGAGTAATTCTACCAGCTGATCTTTCCTGGTCATCTTATATCCTGATGCATTCTAAGAAAATATTCCGTCTTACCTTCTACATCAAGAAGTTAAGACATTCTGGTATAACCTAACGCTTACTCCTACAATTCGTTAACTCTTGCATCTTGCCTATTATTCTCTATTGTTCCCCCTTCGTCTTTCCAGGGCTGGCTACTGAAGAAAGACTATACCTTATTACGTAGGATGTTAAAGATTGTCAGCAGGGTAAGCAACGTGCCACTTAGCCAGCCAGCTTGTTAATATTCTGGTGGACAGGCACATGGACTCATGTGAAAAATGGGCGAAATCCATTTTATCTAACTCACACCACTCACACTATTCATTCACAACTCTCATCATCATCAGACAAAACCAGAAGCCTAAATAGAAAACTATATGCTCGCACTAGCAAGTACAAAAACTCAACCATACCCTACTTAGCTCGTGTTCTGTGCGATAAAGAAAGCATTAGGCGTGATACCTATAACTTATTAAATAGTCAGTAGAACAAATGGATCTCGTCTTTCCAACTCACATCATTTACAGGTACAACGTTTCCGTTATCTTTTCCTTTTCTCTTTCACTTATTTTCCTCTGTCATGTCCTGTTTTGTTTCTTTCTTCCTTACAAACTCAATTTAAAACATTTGTCTTCGTTCTTTCACACTCCGTATATCTCGACCGTTTTGTTACAGCTTACGCCAATAAATACGCTAGAATCTACTTTTCTAACACCTTCAAACACTCTGTTCAATTTTTGGCTTTGCTACCGACATGCCAATATATTGTTGTCAAAACTAACTGAGATTAATTCCATTATGGGTAAATTTTTGTTTTGATAAAGTCTCACAGTGTTATACAGTAATGTTTACTGATGACGTTTCGAGCACAATTTATTGCTCATAATCATCATATCAAGGTGATATGATTATGAGCAATAAATTGGAATGGAATTATACTCTACCACAGTGCACAAGTTTTATTTTTATAACTGAGATTACCCTTAATCTACATAGAATTTTAGTTAAAGTCCATGGCGTCGGTGGCATAGCGGCTAGGAAGCTCGCCGACCATGCACATGGTCCGGGATTCAATCCCCGGCCACAGACGCACTCCTTTACCTCGCTAAGCCAGAAATAATCCTGGTAAAGATGAAAAGGTTGGGCATGAGGCTAGTAACCTCATCCTGTAAAATAAACACTGCTACAGAAACTTCAAGCCACTAGCTTGAAGCCCTATGTTCCACTGGGGAACGTGAAGGAAACAAAAACTAACTGGATGTAATACTGTCGTAAAATGCTGAGAATTCCATTCTGTATCACAAGTAGTGTTTTGGAATAAAGCAAATTATTATTATTTTTACTTCGTATATTTTCGGTAATCATGAGATTCATTTATAATGGTTATAGGTTTGGAAAATCAGTGAAAACGTAATGATGATACATCTGGTTTGCAGGGGTTTTGGTGACGCATAAAATATCGATACGGACCACATTATTTTTGTACTGGTGAAAACTGAAGTGATCATCCCAAGTTTCTGTTTCATTGACTGTAACGTTTTTGCATGTTTCAACCTTTCTTTGATTCAAAGTATCCCTTGATACTTATCACAATGACTTTTTCATAGGGTTCAGGGTGACGTTATTCCGCAGAGGCTTTTTATTCTTGAGAGAGTTTTTATCTAATGTCTGATTTTATGTCTCAGAAACTTCAAATCAAGTTGTGGCGTAGGTTACTAACAAGACACAAACCGAGTCCTGGGTCACTAACTGGTTGCATTCCTACTTTTCAAACAGAATGCAGTACACCGTATACAAAGGCCAATCCTCCTCTGCTGTGCTCACAGAAGCTGGTGTCCCCCAAGGTGCTGTACTCTCCCCACTTCTCTTTTCTTTCTTTCTACATGACCTACCGTCTTCAAATGACATTAACTTTGTCAAATGTGCTGATGACCTAACTGTGTCTTTACCTGTCAAATGTCAAAGTGACTGCTCTAAACTAAATGGCTTCTTATCGGAAATTAGCCAATGGTCCAAGGAAAACGGTCTAACCTTAAACCCCTCCAAATGCCAAACAGTTAATTTCACCCTTAGGCATAAATCTGACCTAAACAAACTGGTTAGCACTCATGAGGTGTGCAACATAGATGGTAGTGAAATAGAAACCAAGTCGGAAATTAAATACCTAGGCGTCACTCTATCTTCTGATCTTTCCTGGTCGTCTCATATCTTGACGATTTCCAAGAAAATATACCGTCTTACCTTCTACATCAAGAAGTTAAGACATTCTGGTATAACCCAACCCTTACTCCTACAATTTGTT